CTTAGAAACTAGTGTACAGCAATATTGTTGACAGGACAAACAGAAGATACTGTACAGGATTATTGTGACAGGATAACACATTGCTGTATAGTTTAATTCTGACGGGATAAACAAGGATACACATACATTGTTTGATTCATTCTCTGATTTATTCTTCTGTTGTGTACTACAGTCAGTCATCCTATACACAAATCATGTGATGTTCTAACACGTCTTACATCAACAACCCTCTATTACAATCTTCTACAACGATATTAATAGTAAAGAAATACATCAGCACCATGGCAGTATTTACATAGTCAATAGATGTGATAAATGAACTTTGTTCTATGAAAGGTGACCCCATTAACATGTCCGCATCAAGATGTTAAATAGAATTGAAGAACACTAATAACTACCTGAAGTGACTGAAAATATCTGAAAAATACATGCAACTTGTACGACAGACATGATAGCAGACAAGTTGTCTGCTACTGGTGTGCATTGTTGACAAGTTACTGTAATGCAGGACAAAATCATTCAATAACAAACAATGTATTGTCGTGACTCAAGGTTATTAAAAGTATAACAGTTCTGTTTTAACATCAAATTTTCTTTCGCCGATGAGAAGATTCTGATTCTGTAGATGTATTAAGCTTGAACTAATACAAGAATGAAGAATATCCAACTAAACTATGATTATGGGAAATTAATTTTAAAATTGTGTTTTCAATTTACTGATTCCTTATTGTGTTAATCAGACCGCCTTCATTCACCAATATATATACTGTTATTATTTGAAATTAAACACCAACTAAGACTAGTAAAAGTCAAGTCTTTTGACATCATGTTATTTAATTATCTCTTATCAAACAAAACGTTTATATAGAACAAAATCATAAAAGAATTAAGTTTTTAGGAATAATTTTTATTAATTATTTTATTTTATTAAAAATCACTGTTCCAGAACTAATATTACACCCATTAATAAATACACTTGGCTTAATATGCCAAACAGATAACCCCTGAATATTGACATATATAAATTACGTGACAATAAAGCATCAAATAATCTGAGAAAGAAAAGTGCTCAAAACCTGACAGGACCGAACTCGCTCATTTCTAGCTACTTTATTAATAATGATTATGTAAATATAAAACACATGAATTCTACTTTAACTCAATACCACTAATAAAGAATATATGGTCATACTCATCTTATGTGCATTCTTACTTTTATCCATTACAACAGATTTGTATCTGTCACATAATACTAGTATCAATCCCTCCCAAGAGTTGTCTACCCTAAACTGTTACTACCATGTGTAAGTGGGCGTAAGGAATGACAAACTACCATGTGTAAGTGGGTGTAAGGAATGACAAACTACCATGTGTAAGTGGTTGTAAGGAATGACAAACTACCATGTGTAAGTGGGTGTAAGGAACGACAAACTACCATTTGTAAGTGGGTGTAAGGAATGACAAACTACCATGTGTAAGTGGGTGTAAGGAATGACAAATTACCATGTGTAAGAGCATGTAAGGAACGACAAACTACCATGTGTAAGTGGGTGTAAGGAATGACAAATTACCATGTGTAAGTGGGTGTAAGGAACGACAAACTACCATGTGTAAGTGGTGGTAAGGAATGACAAACTACCATGTGTAAGTGGTGGTAAGGAATGACAAACTACCATGTGTAGATATTGTCCACTTTTGCAGTATAACTATACAGTGTATCTACAATTTGTGACATCAGTGTATCTACCATTTTTGACGTCAGTGTATCTACCATTTATGACGTCGGTGTATCTACCATTTGTGACGTCAGTGTATCTACCATTTATGACGTCAGTTTATCTACCATTTGTGACATCAGTGTATCTACCATTTGTGACATCAGTGTATCTAACATTTTTGACGTCAGTGTATCTACCATTTTTGACGTCAGTGTATCTACTATTTATGACGTCAGTGTATCCAACATTTTTGACGTCAGTGTATCTACCATTTATGACATCAGTGTATCTACCATTTTTGACGTCAGTGTATCTACTATTTATGACGTCAGTGTATCCAACATTTTTGACGTCAGTGTATCTACCATTTGTGACATCAGTGTATCTACCATTTTTGACGTCAGTGTATCTACCATTTTTGACGTCAGTGTATCTACCATTTGTGACGTCAGTGTATCTACCATTTATGACATCAGTGTATCTACCATTTATGACATCAGTGTATCTAACATTTATGACGTCAGTGTATCTACCATTTGTGACGTCAGTGTATCTTCCAGTTGTGACGTTATGAAAGAATAGCATATCCAGTATTTTGTTAAAGGAAAATATATGAACAAGAAAAGTGTTGAAACATTACTCCAAATTATTTTATACTGAATCCATTCAAAAGAATTTCCATACACAGTAATTCAATTATTGCAAGAACGATTATTCTAGTATAAATATGAACACACACATAACTGGAAAAAAACAAAAAGAACAAGTGACATGACAAGAAAAAAGGCATAAAGTATCTTGCACAGGTATGCATCAATCATTTATAGAAATCCATCTTACATTTTCAAAAAGGTTGTATATATAAGAAGATTTTACACAGGACGCATAAGAAATTCCGTTCACTGTACCCAGCACCACACATTTTGTCTTTCAGATCAGCACAGAAATTCTTAACTCACAACATTGGATATAACGCCATCGTCAGATATGGCCATCAATAAAAGAGTGATGTTGTAACATCATAATTCCTATTAATAATCACAAATAAAGACATGATGCTCTGACTAATAACAACATCCCCAATCGAGGCGTTCTTATGAACATTGGATGATGATGAGATGAATGATGAATATTAAGTTAATTACAAAATGGCCCATTAGGAATGTGATTACATGTAGAAAAAAACACATGCTGCTACTAATGACTGTAGGTCAAAGATCTATTTCATCAAACATGCACATATGGGTTTTCCAATAGATTTTCGTTGCATTCTATCATGATACATGTACTAATAAGGATATAAGGGAATGCGTGAATCGTTGTTATCATTACTACATTACACATCTAAATCAGGTCACTGCACCAATTCATGAAAAAAACAATGAATAGGAGTACTCTGGGACATAAAATGAATATTCAGCATGCATTGGATTATACACAGCATAAAACTGAGTCTATCTAAAGCTTTGTGGTATACAATATTTCATTACATATCTGGTGAATCCTAAAGCACAATATGAAATCAACACAATACTACACATGTACATCTGACATCTCAGATTACAAAGCCCTCCTGAAATATAGCCATTTATTACATACTTACTAATAAATACGGGTTTTTTGTATATGCGATACGACACTATTGCTCTAACCCATATCAGCCCTCGCCGTATCACACCCCAAAATCCGTATCAGCCCCCGCCGTATCACACCCCAAAACCCATATCAGCCCGCAAAACCCATATCACACCCCTTTTGAAAAAAATCGTTTTTCAATATTTCAAAAATAAAAATAAATCATAAGACAGTAGTTTTTATTAGTAAGTATGTAATAAACAGAATAAAACACGCCTTTTTCCATATCACACCCAGTATCAACCCTCGACCAATATCAGCCCTCGGGCCATCGGCCCTTGGGCTGATATTGCAATCTCGGGTTGATACTGGGTGTGATATGGAAAAAGGCATGTATTATTCTCTATATACGCAATGCTCTCAGGAAATTAGAGACGTCAGATGAACACATAGGTGTCGTATTGTCTAAAACTGATCATAAACCATACCTAGATACCATTAAATTGTTTAATCATTAATTATATATATATCTGTATCTTATCCTTACATACCTAGAAACCATTAAATTGTTTAATCATTAATTATATATATATCTGTATCTTATCCTTACATACCTAGATACCATTAAATTGTTTAATCATTTATTATATATATATCTGTATCTTATCCTTACATACCTAGATACCATCATTAATTATATATATATCTGTATCTTATCCTTAAACGACAGTAAAGACATACACAGAGAACACTGACAGTTTGTTTCTAGAACTTTCCGCCGTTTACTACAATAATTCCCCAGAATACATCAAATTTTAAAACAACCAGGGTTGCATATCAAATATATTAATAAAAACCAGTGTTTACCCCTTTCTCACTTCACAAGTATTAACATAAATGACAATTAATCACGGATAACAATGGAATCTGACTTATCAGGAATTAGCACATTGAATGCACCAGTTGGTCCAGCACTGTGTGTGAGGTCTGAATGCTGTAACAGGAAACTCACGTTACAACACTGACACAGAATTTGGTTGACAATGAGCGAAAAACATATTTTAGAACTGTAATTGTTTTCTAACAATGTCTGTATATGTTGAAATATGGTACTATTATAATGAATATTCTGTTTTCCTACGTATTAATGGTGCCGTCTTAGTCACCCATTTCCAAAGGTTCCTTAAGGACCCCTGTCCCACTGCACTCACACACTTCTGTTGCCCAGGTAGCTCGATCAGTACGTTAGAGTGACAGTATAACAATCTGAGGTCCAGAGGATCAAATCTAAGCAAATTTGGGAGTAATGTAGTATTCTAACTCTTCATTGAAAACTAAAACCTCAGAAATATGATTAACACAATTTGTATAATTTCGTGTAAAACAATTACAGGTTTTTATTACATACTTACTGATAAATACGGGTTTTTTGTATATGCGATACGACACAATTGCTCTAACCCATATCAGCCCTCGCCGTATCACACTCCAAAACCCGTATCAGCCCCCGCCGTATCACACCCCAAAACCCGTATCAGCCCGCAAAACCCATATCACACCCCTTTTGGAAAAAAACTCGTTTTTCAATATTTCAAAAATAAAAATAAATCAGAAGTTAGTAGTTTTTATTGGTAAATATGTAATAAACAGAATAAAACACGCCTTTTTCCATATTACACCCAGTATCAACCCTCGACCAATATCGGGTTGATATTGGGTGTGATATGGAAAAAGGCATGTATTATTCTCTATGTTTTGCTTTTGACTATTTTGAATTTTGTTTCTTGATGTGTTCCAAAACTTTCTGTCCATGCTCATGATACTAGTTTTCTACTCCCAATCGTACCTATTGATCCTCTCACTGTATACTTACAGGATTGCATACTTTCAACAGTCATACACAAGATATCATATCATTAATATTTGGCAAATTTCATAAAGAATCTCTGATGAACAAAATTACTTCTGACACACAAGTTGTTTTGACTCTCAGGGGTGTCAACATATGGTACATTATTTATGTATGCAGCTGTATTTAGTCTTATAAGAAACCATTATAATGAAATATTTCTCTTTTGTAAGAATATTTATCTATCACTAAAATATTCAGAAAGGAAACAACTTTTCCATGATACACAATACTGCTAAATCTTGATTGGTAAACAACAGTGCCAAAAGAAAATTGAAAATTGACACAATTTTGAAGATATTTGGAAAAAAAATATCATTTCAAAGGTATGAGAACAATGGCTTAATGCTAGTGGATAAATATAATTTGTAAAAAATATATTCTACAACATTAATACATAAAAAAAATCTTTCAAAATTGGTTGAATTCAAAAATGCAGTTAAGGTCCGATCTGATCTGAAGATAATCCATACTTTTTAGTGTACAGAAAGTTTACGTAGCTGATATCCGATTAATAGCTTCAGTTTACTGACTGTGGTGTGACAGTCTTATCTAACACTCACAGACTTATTCTGACACCTAAATGTATTATGTTTGCATATAAAATAGCTCCAGTAATTATTTAGTTTATAAATTATTTTGAAATGAAAAAGTTTTGTCTAATATTTCAAAACTGCTCAATTGATGTTCTAAATTCATCGATTTTCAGCTTAAAACTTCCATATCATTCTAGACAAAAAATATATCAGTTCAATATAATTCCAAACCATGAAACATTTAACTGTTTCAATTCCTTAACGCCTTCTTGTAAAAATATGTATTGCCTGATTGAATGAAAGTGACACCACATTTTGTGCATGTACATTCTATATCCAAACTTTCCTTTAAGAAGACTGTGGTGTGTTGCATTTGTAAAAAAAAAAAAGGTAATGGATTTTTGAGATCAAACAGCAGGACAGCTGTCAATAGAAGCGTTTCCGTGAATAATCATTATTTTTATTAAATATAAGGTATCCAACCACACCACAAACACCCAGGCCTATGATGGTTAAAATAATGAAGAGGAAAATCTTCCAACCACTCATGCTTGACCGCACATCCTCCACACGGGCTGGAAAAAAACAGTGAGATATATGAAATCTGAAAATGTCATGGTTCAATTATAGACCTCCATTTTTTTACTAAAAATTTCTGGACTGAATTATCTTTTCCTTAATTTTTGTATTAAAATGAATAATTTTCTTTTTCTTATTGCTAAGTAACATTATTGGGTGCACAGAATTTGATATTGCTATGCCATTCTGTACGCATGGTAAAGGTTAAATCTAGTACAAAAAAAAATAGAAAAAATATTTTGGCATATCCAGAAGTCATAAGTAGGCCTCTGTAATTAAACGCAAGATCTCTGGGAAAATAATTTACATTATGTATGTACAAAGAAAATCGTTTGTTAAATATTAACATATTTAAGTTCCTTTTCATGGGAAACAAGCTTCAAGTAGTTTAAATAAGTTCATTACACACTGACACAGTAGCATAAAAGGTAAACTGGAGTAAGACAAAGAAAGTCTTTTAAATACAAACAACCTACCTATTGGTGCCAGGTCTATTATACAAACAACCTACCTATTGGTGATAGGTCTATTATACAAACAACCTACCTATTGGTGCCAGGTCTATTATACAAACAACCTACCTATTGGTGCTAGGTCTATTATACAAACAACCTACCTATCGGTGCTAGGTCTATTATACAAACAACCTACCTATTGGTGCTAGGTCTATTATTCGACCAGCCTAACTTGTGGTGCTAAGTCTATACCACAAACAACCTTACTTGTGTTGCTCAGTCTATACTACAAACAGCCTAACTTGGGGTGCTAAGTCTATAATACAAACAGCCTATCTTGTGGTGCTAAGTCTATAATACAAACAGCCTAGCTTGTGGTGCTAAGTCTATAACACAAACAACCTTACTTGTGTTGCTCAGTCTATACTACAAACAGCCTAACTTGGGGTGCTAAGTCTATAATACAAACAACAGAACTCGTGGTGCTAAGTCTATAATACAAACAACAGAACTCGTGGTGCTAAGTCTATAATACAAACAGCCTAACTTGTGGTGCTATTTCTATAATACAAACAACCTTACTTGTGGTGCTAAGTCAATAATACAAACAGCCTAACTTGTGTTGCTAAGTCTATAATACAAACAACCGAACTCGTGGTGCTAAGTCTATAATACAAACAACCTAAATCGTGGTGCTAAGTCTATAATACAAACAGCCTAACTTGTGGTGCTAAGTCTATAACACAAACAGCCTTCCTCGTGGTACTAAGTCTATAATACAAACAGCCTAACTTGTGTTGCTAAGTAAATGGTAATACAAACAGCCTAACTTGTGTTGCTAAGTCTATAATACAAACATCCAAACTCGTAGTGCTAAGTCTATTATACAAACAACCTAAATCGTGGTGCTTAGTCTATAATACAAACAGCCTAACTTGTGTTGCTAAGTCTATAATACAAACATCCAAACTCGTGGTGCTAAGTCTATAATACAAACAACCTAAATTGTGGTGCTAAGTCTATAATACAAACAGCCTAACTCGTGGTGCTAAGTCTATAATACAAACAGCCTTCCTCGTGGTGCTAAGTCTATAATATAAACAGCTTAACTTGTGGTGCTAGGTCAATAATACAAACAACCTAACTCGTGGTGCTAAGTCAATAATACAAACAACCTTACTTGTGGTGCTAAGTCAATAATACAAACAACCTTCCTTGTGGTACTAAGTCTATACTACAAACAGCCTAACTCGTGGTGCTAAGTCAATAAAACAAACAACCTAACTCGTGGTGCTAAGTCAAAAATACAAACAACCTAACTCGTGGTGCTAAGTCAATAATACAAACAACCTAACTCGTGGTGCTAAGTCAATAATACAAACAGCCTAACTTGTGGTGCTAAGTCTATAATACAACAGCCTTCTTCGTGGTACTAAGTCTACAATACAAACAGCCTTCCTCGTGGTGCTAAGTCTATAATATAAACAGCTTAACTTGTGGTGCTAGGTCAATAATACAAACAACCTAATCGTGGTGCTAAGTCAATAATACAAACAACCTAACTTGTGGTGCTAAGTCAATAATACAAACAACCTAACTTGTGGTGCTAAATCTATAATACAAACAGCCTAACTTGTGGTGCTAAGTCTATAATACAAACAACCTTCCTTGTGGTACTAAGTCAATAATACAAACAGCCTAACTCGTGGTACTAAGTCTATAATACATACAACCTTCCTTGTGGTACTAAGTCAATAATACAAACAGCCTAACTCTATAATACATACAACCTAACTCGTGGTACTAAGTCTACAATACATACAACCTTCCTTGTGTTGCTAAGTCTATTATACAAACAACCTAACTCGTGGTGCTAAGTCTATTATACAAACAACCTACCTCGTGGTGCTAAGTCTATTATACAAACAACCTAACTCGTGGTGCTAAGTCTATTATACAAACAACCTACCTCGTGGTACTAAGTCTTTTTGATAATAATTTGAGGTTCATACAGATGTATATACCGCTTTATCACAACCGAGGTTCGTAGGCCGTCTCAAAGCAATTAACAAATTATTATACAAAACAACCTACCTCGTGGTGCATCATACACTTCCGCTGATGGCAATCCCCAATATTCCTGCTGCTGTGGATTAAAATATATTATTGCAGTTAAATAATCAGAATTATTTTCAACCCTTTCATTAACCGACAAAATATTAATTATCAATAACATTTTTGTTATCATCATTTTCATAAGGATTTCCTTTCCAATTTTCCTAAACCAAGTACCATCAGAAGCAAGAAATTTTCAGCTTTCTGCTGATCCCTCTTACACAAAATATTGGCAACAATTATTATATCATTCTGTTGTTGTAATACTTACTTCTTCTGGTGAATCAAGTTCATACAGCTTCATAGAAATGATATCATGGTTATCTGTAGTACAAAATAAAACATTGTTTAATCTATTTGATTCTTTCAAGACAATGGTGTTGTTGAATGTGTAACATAGACTAATGAAGAAATCAGTCTAAACAAGACGATGGGACAGTCACGTTAATTATCAGTATCTTCCTTAAAACTGACATTTATGTCATCCAAAGATTTCTCACATTACCAAATTATCTCTGTGATCATTTGTCTTTGATGATAAAACCAATAATACCACAGCACAACATGTATAAGGACATGTCAGGTTTTTAAGCATTTTGAAACGGACAATTGTTAGAAATTTACCATCATCACTAATTCTCATTGACTGATATTGTGTCCCACTACTATAAATATCTGCCTCAAAGTTACTGGTAGAGAAAAGGAGGTAAATGCATATTTCATGACAGTGGAGGTGATCAACGAGTGGATAGCTCTTACTCTTAATAACAGATCTATAAGTGGATAGCTCTCACTCTTAATAACAACTGTGACAGATAAATTAGTGGAAAGCTCTCATTCTTAATAACAACTGTGACAGATCCATGAGTGGATAGCTCTGACACTTATTAACAACTATGACAGATCTATAAGTGGCTAGCTCTCACACTTATTAACAACAGTGACAGATCTATGAGTGGACAGCTCTCACTCTTAATAACAACGGTGATAGATGTATGAGTGGATAGCTCCCACTCTTAATAACAACTGTTACCGATCTATGAGTGGACAGCTCTCACTCCTAATAACAACTGTGATAGATGTATGAGCGGCTAGCTCTCACACCTATGAGCAACAGTGACAGATCTATGAGTGTACAGCTCTCACTCTTAATAACAACTGATACCGATCTAGGGGTGGACAGGTGTCACTCTTAATAACAACTGTGATAGATGTATGATTGGATAGCTCTCACTCTTAATAACAGCTGTTACAGATCTATGAGTGGACAGCTCTCATTCTTAATAACAACTGTGACAGATCCATGAGTGGATAGCTCTGACACTTATTAACAACTATGACAGATCTATAAGTGGCTAGCTCTCATACTTATTAACAACAGTGACAGATCTATGAGAGGACAGCTCTCACTCTTAATAACAACTGTGATAGATGTATGAGTGGCTAGCTCTCACACCTATGAACAACAGTGACAGATCTATGAGTGGACAGCTCTCACTCTTAATACCAACTGTGATAGATCTATGAGTGGAAAGCTCTCACTCTCAATAGCAACTGTGACAGATCTCTTGGGGGATAGCTCTCACTCTTAATAACAACAGTGATAGATGCATGAGTGGCTAGCTCTCACTCCTATTAACAACGGTGACAGATCTCTTGGTGGATAGCCCTCACTCTTAATAACAACAGTGATAGATGCATGAGTGGCTAGCTCTCACTCCTATTAACAACGGTGACAGATCTCTTGGTGGATAGCCCTCGCTCTTAATAACAACTGTTGCAGATCGATGAGTGGACAGCTCTCCCTCTTAATAACAACTGTTACAGATCTATGAGTGGATAGCTCTCACTCTTAATAACAACTGTGACAGATCTCTTGGTGGATAGCTCTCGCTCTTAATAACAACTGTGATAGATGTATGAGTGGATAGCTCTCACTCTCAATAACAACTGTGACAGATCTCTTGGTGGATAGCTCTCACTCTTAATAACAACTGTGATAGATCTATGAGTGGATAGCTCTCACTCTCAATAACAACAGTGACAGATCTATGAGTGGATAGCTCTCACTCTTAATAACAACTGTGACAGATCTATAAGTGGATAGCTCTCACTTTCAATAACAACTGTGATAGATGTATGAGTGGACATCTCTCACTCTTAATAACAACTGTGATAGATGTATGAGTGGATAGCTCTCACTCTAAATAACAACTGTGATAGATCTATAAGTGGCTAGCTCTCACTATTAATAACAACTGTTACATATATATTAGTGGATAGCTCTCACTCTTAATAATAACTGTGATAGATGTACGAGTGGACAGCTCTCACTCTAAATAACAACTGTGACAGATCTATAAGTGGACAGCTCTCACTCTCAATATTAACTGTGACAGATCTATAAATGGATAGCTCTCACTCTTAATAACAACTGTGATAGATGTATGAGTGGACATCTCTCACTCTTAATAACAACTGTGATAGATGTACGAGTGAACAGCTCTCACTCTCAATAACAACTGTGACAGATCTATAAGTGGACAGCTCTCACTCTCAATAACAACTGTGACAGATCTATTGGTGGATAGCTCTCACTCTCAATAACAACGGTGACAGATCTATAAATGGATAGCTCTCACTCTTAATAACAACTGTGATAGATGTATGAGTGGACATCTCTCACTCTTAATAACAACCGTTTGGTTAGTCTAGCACTTATACTGTCAGTGAAACTAAGTTAAACGCAAAAACTTAACGTTGATGTCGCTGCCGTCGCTGGAAAAGCAACACCTTAGTCTTGGTTCCACTACTTCGTGGCGGCGAGACAAAAAGGGCTTTATTTTCATACATGTGTCAAACTAACAACTCAGTTCTATTTTGATATGGTCATGATATAAAGTGACAACATTTGAAGATATGACCCAATCATGAAGTAGTGATGTTTTAGCAAACTTGGAATTGGTTATTAAGTAATAGTAGCATGTATACAATGTTTACCTGCTAACTGTCCTGTAGTAGCCGAAGCCCCAAAGTAATAGCCAAGTGGTAATTTGATGCCACGAACTTCAAAACATTCCTTCCAGCCATTTTTATTATCAATGTCAATAGAAACCTGCAGGGAATTAGAAATGAAAGACATTATTTATTTCCTATAGCTAGTATATTTCTACTTCCGTTACAATCCCCCAGCTAATTATTTATGATCAAAATGTCTACTTAAATTCAATATCATTTATCGATGCAGTTTAAATGTCTATATGATTCAGTGATTTCTTTTTTGCTTAGTTTTACAGCCGAATAGTGGCTATTTCCACCAGCTAAAAAGTACTTTATTTTCCCAAAATGACCAAAATATTAAGAATATATTTCCAATTTCAATACAAATAATGCTATATTTTCCCAGTTAATAAAATTAAAGGAACAGGCTGTTGTTAAATTTTGGTAACAAAAACACTTTGATTTAACCATTAAGTTCAACATTTGCTTTGAATATACTTTCGAAAAATTATTCATAATATTCTTTTATTAATGCATTGAAATCCAAAGTGGAAAACTATTTAACTCTAAATTGCAATGAAAATGAACAAAATGGTCACCCTATGGTTAGATGGATTATCAATAATTATGCCAGCATTACACTAGTTTTACAATCTGTTTCAGGATTCTTTTTCCATCATGTTATTTTTTTTCAGCATATTTATGTACATTTATGTGTATCTAATAAAATAATACAAAGTTTAAACATATAATTATACAAATTAATTGGATGATAACAAGACATGCACATTCAACAATTGGTAAAAGAAAACACCTAATGCCATTCCTGTATGTATCATCCTGTGCCTAGTACTTTGTAACTACCAGGTATAGTACTTTGTGAGTAACTACCAGGTATAGTACTTTGTGAGTAACTACCAGGTATAGTACTTTGTGAGTAACTACCAGGTATAGTACTTTGTGAGTAACTACCAGGTATAGTACTTTGTGAGTAACTACCAGGTATAGTACTTTGTGAGTAACTACCAGGTATAGTACTTTGTGAGTAACTACCAGGTATAGTACTTTGTGAGTAACTACCAGGTATAGTACTTTGTGAGTAACTACCAGGTATAGTACTTTGTGAGTAACTACCAGGTATAGTACTTTGTGAGTAACTACCAGGTATAGTACTTTGTGAGTAACTACCAGGTATAGTACTTTGTGAGTAACTACCAGGTATAGTACTTTGTGAGTAACTACCAGGTATAGTACTTTGTGAGTAACTACCAGGTATAGTACTTTGTGAGTAACTACCAGGTATAGTACTTTGTGAGTAACTACCAGGTATAGTACTTTGTGAGTAACTACCAGGTATAGTACTTTGTGAGTAACTACCAGGTATAGTACTTTGTGAGTAACTACCAGGTATAGTACTTTGTGAGTAACTACCAGGTATAGTACTTTGTGAGTAACTACCAGGTATAGTACTTTGTGAGTAACTACCAGGTATAGTACTTTGTGAGTAACTACCAGGTATAGTACTTTGTGAGTAACTACCAGGTATAGTACTTTGTGAGTAACTACCAGGTATAGTACTTTGTGAGTAACTACCAGGTATAGTACTTTGTGAGTAACTACCAGGTATAGTACTTTGTGAGTAACTACCAGGTATAGTACTTTGTGAGTAACTACCAGGTATAGTACTTTGTGAGTAACTACCAGGTATAGTACTTTGTGAGTAACTACCAGGTATAGTACTTTGTGAGTAACTACCAGGTATAGTACTTTGTGAGTAACTACCAGGTATAGTACTTTGTGAGTAACTACCAGGTATAGTACTTTGAGGATGTTGTTACTATGGAAACTGACCTTAAGGACTTCGTTATGGTAACGGATGGCCACATAAGTGCCGTAGTCTTTATTCCTGAACTTTGCTTCACATCCGGCCAGCTGTGTATGTGTCCCATCACGGTCGTGATCATAGGTCAGTGAACCATTGTTTACCATTGCCGATATGTATGGGTGTTCATGCTATAACGGAACAAATTGAATTTCTTAACATTATTTTTTGAAGTGTGAAGTTTTGCAAAATGTTTGTGCTCGGGAAACATTTGATTACATCAGTATAAGATCAGTCCTGTTCTAAAGCAAAGCCAAAAAGCCTCAGGTTGTGTACTTTCATAGCTATCAATGTTTACTTTTGATTTGCGAGAACTGATGTGCTTATTTTCACAAATAAATAAAAGGCTACATGAGCATTTCTTTTGCACATTTACTCAATACAAGAGGGGCCAGTAAAAACAAATTAAATCCTAAAATGTGATCAAGTTTTAACATAAATAATATATTTTTTAATACTTACATTCTATCACATAATGTAACAAGGAAATACTTACATTGTGGGGACCATTGTGGTTACTGTATGTGTCCATGAAAATTGCCAATCCAGAGAAAAAATCAGTGTTTCCAAAAACATTACCTACAAAATAAAAGTAGGGTAGATCTATTGCAGGCTTATTCAATCATTATTTAACATATATATCATCCAAAAAAAGTATCAATGAGAAGATAAACAAGAGACCCAGAGGGGACTACGGTAAGTCCCTAAGGGTGTGCCCAGACCCCAGAGTCAATTCTTATACCATGACTGTACTCGCCTCTTTATGCCCTGCCCCAGCAACTGTACATATAACTAAAAGGTGGGGATCGCAACAGTGTCAAAAGGGGTGTGGCCAGACCCAAGGATCAATTCTAATATCATTAATGGGTCGGTCACTTGTGCTTAGCAATTGTAAATGTGGTTGTCGGTTGGGGATATTAACCGTTTAAAAGTAATGACCCAGCAACTTAGTCTCAATAGGTGGGGTGATCAGACCCTCCATTTTTACAATTTTGGATCCCCACCACGAAGGGATGCTTCCAGTCAAATTTGGTTAGCAGACAAGGTTAGGTGAGCTAAAACAAACATAATACGATCAAAAGAAAGACTGCTTTATTTAGAGTAGAATACATACCCAACTTGTTTTTCTCCCTAGCATACCAAATCGCTATTCCATCTCCAAATAAGGTAGTCCCTGAACCGTGCACAGCAAACTGAACATGGAGCTCCCAATTTTTTGTGTGGCATGGCTAGTATAAATAATAAAACAGAAAAAAAAGGAAATTCAATCTCAGTACAAGAACAAGAGATCCCACAGGGATCTTGGCGCCCACCTTTGTACCATCTTCATTAGTTCTTTGTCAGTTCGTTCTTTTCTCTTCTTTCCTCTAATCTTTTTGATCGAGTCATATTAACAATAAATGCACCTTGAGGAAACTTTTGATCTAAACTTAATACTGATGTGTATGAAAGCCAACCTTCTAAGTGAGTTTGTCATTTCACATATTTACTAGTACAGTACTTAATGTGAAAGAAATAGAATCGATCATTGCAATATGAGAAAGATCTGTTTAGTTCTTCTTTTAATCCATTTTGGTTTTTATGATCAGTCTCAAAATATAACATGCACAAAGAGGGATCAAGGGGAACCTACATTAAAAATTTGAGAGAGATCCCTCCCGTACTTCCCGAGAAATAGTGATAACAAACTTTCACTATCAAAATCCAAGATGGCTGCCTGTCGGCCATGTTGTTTATCCGATCAGTCTCAAAAAATGCCCTGCACAGCTAAGGACCAAGGGGAACCTACATATAAAATTTAAGAAATATTCCTCAGGTGCTTCTTGAGAAAAAGCGATAACAAACTTTCAATATTAAAATCCAAGATGGCTGCCTGTCGGTCATGTTATTTATCTGATCAGTCTCAAAAGTTGCCCTGCACAGCTAAGGACCAAGGGGAACCTACGAATACAATTTGAGAAAGATCCCTCTGGTACTTCTTGAGAAATAGCAATAACAAACTTTCTCTATCAAAATCCAAGATGGCTACCTGTCGGCCATGCTGTTTATCCAATCAGTCTCAAAAGTTGCCCTGCACAGCTAAGGACCAAGGGAAACCTACATATAAAATTTGAGAAAGATCCTTCTGGTACTTCTTGAGAAATACTGATAAAAAGAATTGTTTAAGGACGGACGACGGATAGACCACGGACGCAGGGTGATTTGAATAGCCCACCATCAGATGATGGTGGGCTAAAAACGTAAGCTTTATAGCAATATAGTACATTATTTTAAAATAGCCTTAACATGTTATTAGTATCATTATACACAAGTTTTACAGTAGACTTTTTCAGACAAGAGGTTGAAAGACAATGTATGGACTGTAAGAGTTACATCCCTAGTACTTTCTATAAATAAATTATAATATTTTTATTTGCTTGTCGGGCAAATTCTAGATGCTTAAGATCCCAAATTTGGAAAAGAAAATCTTCATCTCTGATATGGGCGCAGACTCTAGATATATAAATAGCACATTTGTATGTGATATTATTTGTTAACATGCACTGAACAACATCATTACTTACATACATGTACACTACAATCCTGTTTTTAACAATAGAGAAAATAATCTGAATTTTAGACACATCAATAAATATAAGCCAACCAGGTTCACTGAAGCAAAACGTTGTAATTTCTTATATCCTTCTTTCCCATTTCCTTGTGTGACATAGTTACTAGGTTACTGAACATAACCAAGGTCTGTACAAAATGAAAACTTTTCTGGGATGAAGACATCAAATATCTGTCAACAAAGATGATATGACACAGACTCTAGTTTGCATACAGATACATGTATGATCAACGAGGAGATACACACGTGAAGGATTGTACTTAGTGTCAAAGTCACCTTAATATATATAGCTAGCTGTGGCTAAAGGGTATTCCCCTTTAGCATTATAGCATATCCGACTAAAAATCTGGGGTTGTGGGTTCAATCCCCAGCGCTCTTTACAGTATATTTTTTTCACTACCTGCTTCAAATTAAAGATTGGTGCCACTGACCGTTAAGGCAGTGCAAAACCCATGACAGAGAATTATAAGTCAATGAACCTGGATTGTAGACATGTAGTAGACTTTGAGGGCAAACATTAGGAAAAATTGGGGGGAGAAGGGGGGGGGGGCAGTGATTTTTTTTCTTCTTTTTCTAAAGAATTGGTGCCTTTTGTATTGGGAATTTTACTGTGTGAACACAATGAATTGGGAATTATACGACATGGCACGGATGTATGATATTAGGGAAATTTTGTTTGATAGCGCTCAAACAACCTCATGTGTAAACAAAACTTAAAGCTTGAATTCAATGCCCCAAGATAAACGTTTATTTGTCAAAAAATTTAACAACGTTGTACAACAGTTTATAAGAAGGCATACTTTAATTTTATTACAAGCAATTGGGAAAATATTGGGTCAGATTTGGGAAAACTTCACTTGGGGAAAGTACCTAAAATCAGCATTAAAAATGGGGGGTAAAAAGCCACTGGGGGGTAACCATAAGGGTGGTGGATAATGCTAGTGTCAATTTGCAAGGATGTGCATCATACAATGTCAAAGTTCACTTGCATTGGAAGCTGCAGCTAAACTAGTATAGAGAGGCTAGAAAGTCAGACAACCAGTGAATTCTTTGTCTTTTCACTACCTCCTTACACATGTGTGTGATAGGAACCGGACTATATAGCTAGTAATTGGAAAAAGGAAAATACCTGAGTGTTCCATATTGCTCCCTGTCGACTCTGGTGATCAGGAGTCAAACGTACGTGGTTATTAGTGACAAGAGTGCTTCCTACAAAGTCCCATAAAGGCATTGATGCTCCTGATCCTAGCAAAAGGAATGAATAGGTTATACACAAGTCAGTCTTACAAAAAGTTAAACAAGAGGCCCATGGGCCTTAACGGTCACCTGATATATTTATACAGAGAGTTGATTTCGTTTTTAACATGAACAGAAATATTATTCAAAATGACAAAAAACAATAAAACCACCTTATTCAATATCAAGCATACAGATTTCAGACTAAAAAGGATTTGAAACTAGCACCTCTGATTCTAAACAAGGAATATGAAGAAATTTTAGCACACTGACTCCCTTGAGCCCCACCCTACAGCCCTTGGGGGTAGGGCTGGCTCAAAATTTTCAAAGTATCAAACTGTCAACTCAAGGTTATAATTCCAATCAAGTTATTAACATGTAATATTCAAAGTA